TTTGGAGCGTAACCACACACACAATTTCTAGCGTGGCTAGATCCACGGATAGACCTGCAATATAAAGACTAGATTCAACTGCTCCTCAACATAGATTTGTACGTGAACAATTACAAGTAATTCCTAAGGACACACAATTGTCACCTCGTTCACTTATGTAAACTAGCGTCTTGACGTCAATTGCATTCAAGACCTGTCAATGTGACATTATCACGTGTTTGATCAAGATCAATGTAAATTCTGCCTACGTTAAATTGTTTTAGATATTATAAGAGTACATCCATAACATGTGACAGTTACAAATTACACAACAATTATTTTGTTGTTGTTTTGGTGTCATATATCCAAATCACGATTATTATTTCGTCACATTGTTTAGCTGGATATTTTATTTCTTATAATGCCAAACACTTTGGTGTCACTAACAGTTTGATTGTTATTTTCTATGGAGTCTATGACAACACTGTGCAGTTGAGATATTTTACTTACTCTAGATACTGTGAGATAAACATTATATTCTATCATTGACAGTCCTTATCTTTGTACAGTAATAGTTAACCAACGCGCTTTCATCAACAGAAACTAAAACAATATTGTTCAATGCAAGATTTTGTTTATCAATTCTTCCCAGAATCTCAACTTCAATATTTTGTCGTTGAGTGTCAGCTGGGCGATAACACAATGGTATAGGTAACTCTGGAAATCTTGCCTTGTGACGCAGAAATAAATTCTCTTGCAATTCATCAAGAATTATCTTTCTACTAGCAACTATTAAATCGGGGCACCTAGTGGCCTAGTGGTCTAAAGCGCTGAACGTTACGGATCACTGCCATCTCTCACATCTGTCTGCTTGAGTTCGAGTCCAGACTCGACTAATACTGATAAGTGAGACAGCTTGCCAGTAGCTTCTCGTGGATCGGTGGTTCCTCCCGAGGTTTAACCAGGGTTCTTCCTCCACTATTAATACTGGCCGCCATGTATAGCCTATCTTGTGCTGTAAAATGCCGTTAAAACCTATAACAACAACAACTGCTATTAAATCATTTGCTCTCCATAAATTTCAACAATCATTTACAGGAATTTCTGGAATTATTTCACACATTATCTCACATTGTGTTCTATCTGGCTATAAGTCTGATTAATCTTTTAAATTCTTTCAGAGGTTCATCAATAGCGCTATAGCTATCATTTATTTCTTCAAAATAATCAATATATGATTTTAGCCACTCATGGAGAGATTTGCCGACGAAAGGTGGTGGTTGACCATGATCGCCACACATTATTATTGCAGTTTTTGTTTTCAATAACTAATCAAGAAATGTTTTTAGTGTTTTTGACGATACCATGCAAATTTCATCCCAGATGATGATTTTGGGCATATATTTCTCATATCTTCGTTCAGGTGTTCACGTATCTTCGCACTATCTGAAGAAACTATGATAAGTTTGAGATTTCACTCCTCGTAGTATAATTTCCCTGGCTACCCTATGCGTGGGTGTCAACAAAATCATGTCTAAACTCCGAAACTATTCAATTGCAAGTGTTGTTTTACCATTGAGAGAAATGGTTTTATGTCTGGCTACGGTATCAAATACACATGGTGATGTTGATACTGGTATGTGATTGTCATTACCGTAATATATATTTTTTATATCAATGATGTCTGCTGTTTCAGAATAGTCTAGTTTAATTTCTTGGTTTATTCTCCGTGATCCCCATTCGCCGCTACCGAGTAACAGTTTTACCAAATCTAAATATTTATTTATCTAAAATGAACCCGTAGCAACTTTGAAAGCGTAACTCTATTTATCACAGATGATAAATTTATAGACATGTAAGCCAGCATAGAAGATCTTAAATGAGTGAACTGCGGTGAATCACCATCGATGTAACTCACAATTTTGCATAGCTTGGTTCCGTTTGACAAATAAGTATTGCATATACTTACAAATGTTCCTTTTTGTCCGCGATTGTAAAATCCAACTCAGCATCATTCATGATTAATCTTGTACAATGTCGTTCATGATCATACCATCCACCTAGAGTAAATTTACCAATTATTTTTCTACTGAGTATCATTTGCAACTTTATTTTTTTAATCAATTTTATACCAATGTTCATATGGATCTGTGGGTGAATGTTTCTTTGGTTGTGGTAACCAAACATGTTTTTGCAAATGATACAATAGCTTCACTGACCATCAACATTATTAAAATTACCACATCAAGTAATTAAAATAATAGCACCGTTGGAACCCAACATTTTTCAGTTTTTGTTCACCAAGTCACCTACACACGATCGGATGAAGATCACTGCAAAACTTAAAATAATTTACATAAGCGAATGTGTTAAATGAAAATCGGGCAGTGGTCCATTTATCACAACTCTTGTCATCTCCTATGTGTGGTGACCAAATCGCTTAAAGTATTCAGAACAATTACCATTTCCAAAAAAAAAAACAAGGTCTAGGTTAACACGTAACCATATAAACCAATACAACTTTATGATGATCGTATTTGGTATTCCATAATACGCCGTGTCCGTATTCGACACAATTTCGTTAAGCATCTTTAAAAAATTCTTATCATGTCGGTTTTCATGAAGTGTTTTTGAGCAAAATGAATCGCAACCGATATAACTGTAAAATTGTTCAACTTCAGGATCATCAGAATTATATTTTAGAGCAAGATTCTTCATTTTTCATAGAGAGATTCTCTATGGTAATCTCTCCGTTAGGTTCTACTAATGGATTTTAATTTATAGACTCAACTCTGAAATAACCAAACAGATATTACTGATCTTAATGATGGCGTCAAATATATATTTGTGATAAAACCTGACTGTCCTATCTAGTGAAATTTTGTTACAAAATCAGTCCATGCATGTGCATTATGATAAATGATTTTATTGGAGCTCCTCTTGATGGGTATTTAGGTTTGTACAAAATCTTTCCGATCAGAGCGTTTACTGTTATTGGAAGTTTTAATTTCTTTTCTATCTTAGCAACGTCACTGATCGATTCTCGGATATCTTTAACTATTTTTGCCAACTCGTTTTTTGATACATCTTAGATAAGTGAAACCGTTTCCGCTTATTTATTTTGAGAAATGTTCCATAAGTTGCTCAGCTACGCAGTTTAGTCACCTTCACTATTTCATCGGTTCGAGATTACCAGCTTTAAGTTTATCATTTAGCGGATATATCGCATAGATAACCGCAGTAACCGGATACGCTCGCTCATAATACAGTTTATCAATACAGGTCAACGTACCTGGATTGGATTTGGTTTTTAATGTGACAGCATTACTTCCAATATAAAAGCCGTATAGGATCGCGTTTTATTACGGATAATCCAAGTATCCTCATCTGTCTGCACAATAAATTTTACTAAAATAATATATCAATGATTACGTAGATATTTAATATTTTTTGCCTCGTTTGTCATTCATTCTATCATCTACAACAATGGTGTCGTTCATAATTCTGAATGTTGACCAAGCATGAGCCGCACAATCATTGCGAAATTCCTTTTTACTTTCACGGATACGAACGATAATATCGCTATTTATCAAAGCCAGATCTTGCATCGGTAAACTAAGTTTAGATTTTGGTAAGTTATAAAGATCAAATTTTGCAGCGAATGTTCTATTGGGGATAATCTCTCAAATTTCGACATACTATATTTAAAGAAAATAAATGTTTATTTAAACTCTCTCTCTCTCTCTCTCTCTCTCTCTCTCTCTCTCTCTCTCTCTCTATATATATATATATATATATATATATATATATATATATATATATATATATATATATATATATATATATATATATATATATATATATATATATATATATAATTCAAACAAAAACTCGATGCTAATAATTGGATTTTCAGTTCCTTGTCATAAATAATGCGTGAATGAATTTTGTGGCCAACACATGCAAGCAAAGGGAGGCAGACACCAAAACTGTGTTTACGATAGAGTAAGAGGTTTAGTTGTAGCGTTATGCTGGCAAAAGATAGCGATCTGATACTATATTATGATAAGAATGCGTCAGGTTAATGCCGTTAGACACCGCCGAAGATTATCTGGCCAGATTTCAAGATTATCATTTGAACAAAGATATATATATATATATATATATATATATATATATATATATATATATATATATATATATATATATATATATATATATATATATATATATATATATATATATATATAACGGCATTAACCTGACGCAGTCCTATCATAATATAGTATCAGATCGCTATCTTTTATATATAAGGAGCATAAGTAATGTGTTACATGTCCCATCATAAAATAATTATGAAACATCTCATGAAAGAAAAAAACCCAGTCCATTTTATTACTTATGGTGAATACAACATGTTTGGTGCTGTCAAAAAGATTGACTCACACATGTTTCTGTACGATGTGTTTTCATGGGGTGGTCGAAGACGGAATTGATTAATCATTTTGGTGGAAATAGACAAAATAATTATTTATATGATCTCGAAGTTGTTACACGGGCAGAACTGCGAATTCGGAAGAGTTGGTTTAATTCTAAAATTCATAAGTCGGTTATATCAATAAATACAGAGACAGATTAAGAAATTATGTACCCATCCTTGAATGCGGCTGATAAATATTTTGATATTTGTATGCCTTCAGTACGTTTTGTAGCAAATAATTCTACTAAATCTGCTTATTCAGTAAAATGCGGCAAAAATCACGTTCCGATTTATCCAATAAGCGAGATAAATCCGTTATCGCTAAATTAAGAAATAAGTTATTGTTTGTGCTTACACAATTTAATGATAATAATCCGTTTTATTACTGATAATACAGGGATGGACCTGGCTTTCAAAAGATTGTCCAAAACAAATCGTCAACCTCAATTTTCGAAAAATATCGTCAGAAAAATTATTTTTCCAAGTCTATTAATTTAATAGGCAATGAACATTCAAAAAATCGGATAGTTCTTACTTTATTGACATCCGGTGGCCTAGTGGTTAGAGCGCTCGCCTCGGATACGGGATGTCGTGGGTTCGAACCCCTGCCGAGTCATATCAAAAACTTCTAAAAATAGCACTAACAGCAGCTTCGCTTGTCGCTCAGCACTAAGACGTTAGTGTTAGGACTGGTTAGCTTGGTGTCAAGATAATGTTATCTGGGTGGGATATCATGCCACATTTCTGCGACATGATGCCCCAGTGCTAGACATCATTATAAACTGTCCCACTGCAGAGAAAATAGCGATATGACTGAAAAATTGTTAAAGTTACGTTAAAAATCTAGATCACACACACACACACACACACACACACACACACACACACACTTTATTGACAAGTAATACAGAACAATACAGTTATAACATTACAAAATAAATCATTACATGACTGTTTTGTAAAAAAAAAAAATTAATGACATTTTAATACCAGAAGCTTATGATCGTACTTTGCAATGTAAGATAAGTGACGTATATTGCGACATTTCGATTTCATGGAATTAGAAATTAAATGTCCCATCCCTCTTTTTATCGCTAGCTTCACAATATACATCTCCGTCAACTATCTGTTAAGAAATTTAATTTTGCTTCATAAATCCCAGGAATGATCACTGAATGCTGTAGATTTTTTTGTCGATAAGCAAATTAGGATCTCCATTCCCATCAGTGAAACTTACACACGCGAGTTAACACCTGACATAAATGTACCGTATACATATAAGCATTTGTTACCATCATTAAATTAAAAGAAGGAATGAAGACACATATTCGGAATAAATAAGTTGTTTATTAAGCAGTGTGTTGAATACATGAGTTAACAATAAAGAAATAAGGTGGGATATAAAATGTTGAAAATTTTGTATGGCTGCTTGAGACCACATTTGAACTGTTAACACAAATTCTCACACATTTTATGCATTGTTAATTATAAAAGAAATGGGCATTGTTTATTTGTCAATCAATTGTTAGTGCTTTTACTCACTTTAGAGCAGACGGTTTCTTTGAAAAATGTCAAAGAGGGTTGAGTCTAACCTTTATTTATTGTACAGTTTTGGCACATCCGACCAGACTATCAAATAGGGCACGTGTGGGGGGAATAACGCACTTTACAGTGAGAAACAGCGCTCCCTTTAAGAATTTCACGTGCATTGGACTAGAAAAGTCGATTGATATTTAGCAAGGACAATGCTTAAATATTTCGCAAAAATTCCCGATGGTAGGTCCCCATCTAAGTGTTTTCTGATTCAATCTCCCAGCAATGTTTGAAAAATATACATTTTTTGCATAACACGGTAGAATATGGTATTAAATAAATTTATTCGGTAACTATTTGAATTCTTTGGAAATCTTTCTGTACATTTCAAACTCAAAAACATGAAGGGCTTTCTTCATTTAAACATATTCAGATTTCTTAGAACTTGTGGAGTTGAAAGTACTTTTAGGAAATATGAATTCATTCACATTCTCTAAGTGAATTTAATTCTTTTACTCCAGTTGTTCGAGAAATAACTTATTTTAAATTACGTAAAACTTGTCTGTTTTGCTATATCTGGTTACCCTGTTTAAGTCCTTGGAGTCGTAACACGGAATTTGGCAAAGATAAAAGATGAATGTACACAATTACAAGAATCACAACCAGCTGTAAATTAATTGACGACTCGTGCCTTGATAGATATATCATAGAACATCTTTAATTTTGTATCAGATCTCAGCCACGGACGCTCTATTTTCCAGCTGTTGAGAAATTTTTGTGAACTTCTAACCCTTTCATCATGATTTCGTATTGCACTTAAAGCATTACTACCATCACTAAATGTAGATGATGTTGGACTGTCAGGTATAACAGAGGTTTAGTGACTGTGTTTGATGAATTTGCACTAAATCTAAAATGCTTTTAATTTTGATAACTTACTCCTAGGATGAGATGATAGACACACAATGTCTTACTTACATTTACCCATGATAAAGATGCACTTTTGACAATATATAATTCTGATTGAGATTTTTCTTCCTTTGCTTTGTATTTGTACACCGCAATCAGTACTTCGAAGATTAATCAGATCGTTCTTAAGATTCAGGAAAACTGATCTATTGGTTTATTTAAAATAAACGTAAAAAACGATTAGCCCTCATTCAATTAATTGTAGCTGTTTCTATTCGCGTCTTCACCGATCAGTCGATTATAGGTATAGCCTGGTAGCATGAGCGTATCGCCGCACACAATACTGATGCCAGATATCAACATAAGCGGATTATGATGCAAGAATGCACTGTAAAGATAGATTTGTCAATACGAACAAAGTTTTTTTTTTATGTAACAGATCCTAGTGCATTTAGTATGCAAATGTGTGGCTTCCTTTCACGGTTTCTTCAAATTTATCCACTCCAAATCCATAATTATATGTACAAAAAGGCTATCGCAAAAAAGCACCAGATAGTCTATTTTGTCTCCAGTAAAGGAAGAAAATCGCAATTTGTGATATTGTCGAAGCCCAGGATGATACATGTAATAGTAATTGACCAGGTATGGTAATGTAGTATAATTGTTGTGTTTTATAGTCTCTCCAATCCAGACATCTCGACGCCGTGAAAGTAATGATTGCTAAAAATATATTTTCAAACAGAATATAAAAAAATCGTATTATATTGTACATATAGATGGGAGCAGACGCTACAGTGCCATGGAAGGTACTGGAATAATATTGATCTAGTACAAAACTAACACAGTATTCAGGCTGTAACAGTGTTACAGCGTTTTTAAGACAGCAGAAACTGCATACATATATACAAATGCATAATTTATTCAGAATCAGAGAATTATTTCGGTGTCGGTGAAATTGGGCCGCTGATGCAAAGATCACTGTACAGGAATTGTTTCATTAACATGCATTTAACGAATCAAAGCATATATATATATATATATATATATATATATATATATATATATATATATATATATATATATATATATATACTTTATTTACAGGTAATCTTGAATTTACCACCCTGACCATGGTTTTTCTACTTTAAGCAGTGTGTATGATCATTTCTTTCAAGCATTTAACTGTTTAATTTGTGAATTAGTCGTCGCAACCTGTCAGTCGCTATGATAATCATCAATAATTTCATTCAACGTTCATGATGCCTCAGGTAAACAATCAATGGCAAAAAGATGTGATTTCGTTGATGATTTCAGGAGAATTTTTTACCAGCTATTTTCCCACCAACCAGAACTTCTAATCGGTTTACGTCTGCTACGACACTGTCCGGGCAAGTAACTAATCTACTTCCAGTATTTCTTTTTACCAAACGGCGAAGAAAGATAACTAAAACAACTTCGGGTATCGCTGCCAATTGCGCCCTTATCCGAATTTTCTGGGACATTTGAAGGTTCTCCTTCCTCAACTTTTGTTTTCACTGCTTTTCTTTCTTGACTTCCTTTCTGCTTTTACTTTTATGAGTTTCTGTTTTATTTCTTCTTCTTTTTGTTCCTTTATTTGCTTTTATGTTTAATATACTCATCCACCATCTGGCTAAAAAATTCAAACTGATTAATATTTTCCTCAGACCCGATATTCAGTAGCAACGCGAAATATGTCCCTAGGCCAGTCGTCTTATTTTAGAGTATCAAATATTTAGGTTTTACATACTTTTCTCTTTGGTAATATCCATGCGCAGCAATCTTTATTAATTGAGTTGGGTCTTTCATAGAGTCAATACCTTCAGGTGTGAATTAGTTTAATTTTGGTTTTGATTTTTGGTGGTAATGTTATGAGAGCTTTTATGTTGCCTCAGTTGATGAAACAATTTTTTTTGTTAGTTTTGTAATTTGTTAACATAATGATTCCGTGAATTCTTCTTGTGTTTGTTTGCGCTGCTGTAATTGTTGTTGGACGCAAATACGGACAGTAGATGCTCTTAATTGATTCTAGTCGCTCTCTGGGTAATCTTGCTGAGTGTGCTTCGCCTTTCATTATTATAATGCAATGGTTTAATTAGAGCAACAGGGAGGGTGCGACCAACAAAAGTGAGAAAACGTAAACGAATACACGATATATATATATATATATATATATATATATATATATATATATATATATATATATATATATATATATATATATATATATATATATATATCGATGACATACAAAATGATTTCATTGAATAAACAACCCAAGCTAGCCCAACAGGGTCGCCTACGTGACCTAGTTAGAGGTGCTGGTTTAACGTCGTTGTCGCTCAGACTTCATGGCCGTACGAGGTTTTATTTTTCATAAACAGGGCTTCACAGACCCTTCTTGCCCATTCCTTATTGAAAGACTCATTCAAACCATTCACAAAAGTAAATCTCATGATGTTTGTTTTCATAATTGAAATAGTTACACTGGATGGACTTAGTTTATATAATGCATGCCATCTTAGACCATTACCACGTATTCGGCCAAGTTTACGTTGGCTTTCTATATCTTTCTCAGAATAGGAGAGATTACAGTGCAAACAAATGAACATCCGAATGACAACTTGATACAATTATCTCAGGTCACTTTTTTCCACAAGCATCTTACACTCACTTTTAGACATTTCAAACATGGCTTTGGACATCCATATATATTACATGTTGCTGCTCAACAAAATCATGCAACATGTACGATATCTCATTTACAAGCATACCTTACCCTCAGCGGTAATACTTTATGACCGCTTTTTATGAACAAATATGGGCAACCAGTTTCCAGAGAAGAATTTAGTACGAAACTTAGAACAGTACTTTGATTTTGTGGATTTAACCCGAACCATTTTAAGTCTCATATTTCCAGAATTGGGCCCGCCCCTAAGGCGGCCAGATAACTTTTTCAGTGACAACCAAATAAGGTAATTAGGCCACTGCTAATCAGATGCATTTAAAAAATATGTACCGTTAGGCTAAAGGGTCTCAACTTCGCCACACTTCGATCATTTTTTTTTTTTATATGATCGCCATTCCGCCGTGTGTGCTACATTCTCTTTTAGGTCTAGTGCATTTCACAGGCCTAGATTCATGAGCATTGACCGTGCTTTGCTGGGATATGATTCAACTCTACCCGGACTAATCGGTGTCTACTTGCCTATTCGACCCTAACAGCTTTGGTTGACCAATAGCGCATTCCGGAAGTGAGCGCATGCGTTTAAAAGTTACTTCACAATAATTCATATATGCAAGATTTATCCTAACTACCGGGGAGTATGAGGGTGCTCTGCTGTGCCAGCACTACAAAATTCATCTGTTTAATTTTGATAAATATTTATATTTTATTTTCTTTGGTACAAGTCATTTTTGTTCTTTGCTCATCTTAGTTTTTGTGGCTGCTGGAAATACAGCAAACTCTATTAGCAATATTTCTGTTTAAGACATTTGCAGCCTCAACAATTTTCTGTATTATACGTTATGTCTCATTGTTAAATTTCTTATCAAATTTACTCCATAGACTATGTTCAAATAGTTATGTTATGCAATGAATACACAACAAATGTTTGGTTGACTATTATCAATTATGCTCAATACAGTCACGAAAGTTGCTAGCATCAAACACAAAGTTTGTCTTTGTTTTTGTTATGTACTCATATACTCTGACTTAGTTGCATTTGCACGACAGACCTAGGAAATTCTGTCTTTTCAATCTCTATCTTATTTCAGCTCTATCAAGTTTGGAAAAGAGTAAGCTTTTGTATGCACATTTAATTTTATAATCTCATCCAACAAGTTAGTATATAGAATCCTGTGTTTTCGTTCACTTTCTGACAACAACTTGCACCCCTCTTCTACATGTCTAAACACACACACATGCACACAAATACACACACACATACAGATATATATATATATATATATATATATATATATATATATATATATATATATATATATATATATATATATATATATATATATATATATACCAGACATAACAGACAGTGCTATCCCTGGATTCTGTAGTAGAATCTTGATAATAGTGGGCAGAATGAATAATTTAATACAAACAATGCTATCATACAATTTAGAGAAATTAAATTCGTACTCTCCGGAGTTTCGAACCCAAGTCCGCGAGTAATTCAAGGCGATGGGTGACATATTGTTTGTATTAAATTATACCATTTGACAGGGCGTAAACGCCGAAAATACCTTTCGGATTTGTGTTCGTTTCAGCAAGATAAGTTCCAATGTTTCATATCATATTTCACTATTTGAGTGAAAATGTATCATATTTTATTATCTGAGTGAACTGACACATTTTCGTGTGGAAATTGTCAATGTTTACGTAAATCATTTTTTCCATTGTTCGTGTGGAATCACATTGCATTAATTATTGTATTCTTTTTGTTGTTTAAAGTTCTTTTTTGCATATCAGTTCACATTTCATTTAAATCAGAATAATAATTTATCAGGTTCGTGCATATTATGTTAAATATACAATATTTGGATTTTGTTGGTACATGGATTAAACAGTCTTTTTCGTTGTATTTTTGTCACCATCAAAAGTGTTCTTTGTTATAATCTTGCCCCAAACTGGTTATCTTGTTATATCTAGAATTAACAGCACACAATTTCAAGAATGTTTATATTTGCGTATTATTGCGCCGTAAGCGGATCACAATTTGATATACCGATAGTATTGGTATATCAAATTGATTTTTACCACCACTTTAGAAGACATGTTGTGTGTGTGTATGTGTGTGTTAGTACATCTGTTAGTACTGATAGTAAAAGACATGGAAGCTGGCATTACGTGGAGTATACATTACAAGAAGCTATCCCATCATAAGACATCATGTATTTTCTGAACTGAATTGTTGAAAATCAAGGGTATCATTTACTTATCTAATTTACAGTAAATATTTTGTATAATCCCGATGTAACAAAATCACGTATAATATTCTTTATTTTGTTTGTTTTAATATTCTTTATTTTGTTTGTTTTGCATAAGACTGCGGATGTTGCATAGGATACGAAGAAAATGACAATATGTCAGAGTCAATGAGTTGTAGGCGGATACTGTTATGGTCTTGTTTATAAGTATGTTGTGTTGATTTTGTGTTTGCTGCAGACACAAATACAGTTAAATCAAAGCATGAAACAAAACCCTATTATTTCAGATAACATATGCATTTTGTCCATGTTCTGGGTTACCATATGATCTATATCCACAATGGTATAGAAAAAATGACAACCGATCAGACTGGGAATTTATTTTTAAATGTCATTAGCTTCATCGGAGCCAAACACTTCATTGCTTATTAGGATAAATGTTGATTCTAATACCATTGGTTCGAGAACTACCAAATTAAACTTTCAACATAAATCCTTTGTAACTTTGTAAACAGACACAAATATATTGAAAGCCAGTGTTTGAAGCTTGCCTTCAATATAGTCTACCTAACTACTATATCACCAGACAAGAAAAATACAGGTTTGTACAATATTCTATTTGAAAGGTCACCAAAACAGACTAAAATTAAGGTGGCTTTATTGTTGGGTGTGCATACAATTTCTATTGTCATCGTGCATAAGTTAATCATCCATAAAGCATCTTGCATATAGAAACACAAGACACGTATACACAGATAAATACATTCAACTCCAATGGATCCTTCATTTCCTATCACTATTACCAATACTAATTATTTTACACCAATTGATTCGGGTTACTTTTATTAACAAAACAACTGCAATAATTTTATTTAAATTGATTGCTAAAAATTCAGCATCCTTTACAAAAAGTAAACACGCTCTTAAAAACCTTAGCAGTTTGACGTATACTGTGGGCGTATTCGACTGTTTGACGGTTGTTTAGTTTCATGCCGATTTATATCGACACAAACTAGAGAAATGCTTGCATACCCGATGCAACCAGAACTGTCAGCAAATAAGAAAGTTTATATTTTGTTTTTATAGTTGTTGTACCTCAGAATTATTTCAATCGCTTGGGTCTTTTGTCAATAACAGTCCATTATTTTCGTCTCTATGTCGTAGGTCATTGTTTGAATTTGATTAGACTTCTTTTCATTAATGTCAATTCAATTCTCATTTTAATTGATATATTTTCATGGGTTATGCATTTACCACTCCTCTGAAGGAACACAATGGCAATGAAAGTTAACTTCGTGGATTAGAGATAGGGTTCTGTTATATATCAGGAAGATTGTTCTTAGTTGAATCTTTTCATTCTTGATTAGAAGCGAAACCTAGAGATACACTGTCAAAGGAAATGAGAAAACGTGGGACATCTAAAATGTAAACCATTTAACACATTACGGTTTGATTTGCAATTAAAGTAGTACATGTGTAGGTATTTATATCAGGTACATGTAATGAAACATATAGATAGAACGAGATTCAGATAAATGAAATTATACCCTGCCTATACATACCAGAAATAAGCCGTAGAATAAAATCACAAATTACAATATGATTCCGCAATATTCTGTATAATAATTTAGAAACGTTTCTCCAGGGAAAAGACTACCTAAAAATACAATACTATGATCTATCATCAGGTAGAAATTTGTAATACAAGTACACATCAAATTATATATTAAATTATATGAAAGTATTACATCTGTAACGATATCATTGTTTCTACAAGCGCAGCGATGGCGTACCCAGAAAATGCATACAATGTATTACATACCTGCGATCTAATAACCAGACCTAAAATTGTTATTACACGCTTGGATGGAGAACATACCTAGCTTCGTACTTTCAGAAACCTTAGTATATAATATCTTGAACAATGAAATAATATCACGATCAAGTCTGTCCTTATATAAGCTGGATTATTTGATCATGATGAACATTCTGGAGTATAAACAGTCAGTTATAGATTCATCCAACTAATGTAAAATTTCACTGATAATGTAATAAGTTCAATAGGAAATGCGGATTTCTTCTTTTGGAATGCCTCGTTCATATAACAAGGAAAACTATCGAGAATAGTTGATTTGCAATTAAAGTAGTATATCTGTAGGTATTTAAATCAGGACGCTAACATTCATAACAGTTTTACTTTATTTTTTTTCTGAATGATTATTATATTACAAATCACTTGTGCGAGAAATTTAAAATGTATGGACTTTTATAAAATAACTCTTTATTCCAAACAGTAACGAATGCTTTTTTTATATTAGACTGGGTACCATACGTATTGAACATATATATTCATTTGTTACACCGATTTTGTATTTTTATAAACATGAAAAGTGTCCAAGCTATATGTCTATCAGGGACAGTTCCACTTTTCCACCATTCTTTTATGCTAGATGGTTTGGTTGTCGGTTCATCAACGCTTTGAAGGATATTGCCAGGCGAAGCAAATAGAATAAAAAAATCTAACTCAAAGACGCACCACAGTATCCGACTGAGCCTGATCCAATTACGGAACTTGAAACAATTATTCTGGCATGAACTGCTAGTTCCAGTGAGCTTTCAGAGTCAGGCCATACAGCTTTCAGATTTTTCAATTTTCCTAATAAATGACTTAATCTCACCAGATTGAAAATTTCTTAAGTACCGTTAAGTAGATAAATTGAATTCGGAGTACTGGTTATATTTGCTGCAGTTGGTTGAAAATAAAAAGATCATTATTTAAAGTAATCAAAAATTGGACCTACAAAAATTTACCAACTGAATGTAGCTGATATCAAATTTCAAGTCGGAAAAAAATGTTCTTTCTTTCAAATGTGCTTTGTTACCTACTTTTTATAATTTACAAATTGGCCAGGTATCAAGTAACGTAGCTCTTTCTAAAGCACTGTATATTTTAGTTTCGAATTCAGAAGTAGATAACAACCTTTAAGATGTTAAATGCCCAGTCATAAAAACAATCCTTTCTAATTTGAGAAGGTCTACCCTTTTGCAACTATTTCTTTTATCTTTTTGCTTTAACTGCTCAAGTGGCCTAGTGGTAGAGCGTCCACCTCGAATGCGGGAGGTCGCGGTTCGAACCACTGCCAAACCATACCAAAGACTTTTAAAAATTGTACTAACAGATGCGTAGCTTGGTGCTCAGCATTAAGAGGTTAGTGTTAAAACTGGTTGGCCTGGTGTCAGGATAAAGTGACTGGGTGGGACATTATCTGCGGCATGATGCCCCAGTGTTAGACATAACTATAAACTGTCACACTGCAGACATAATTCTGATTTATTTGGATCATAAGACTGTAATTCAGTATAAATTGCTTGAACAACCATGCATTTGTGCAAAGAAAGCGACGACATGGGTTTCCTTACACCTAGCATTGAAATTTCCCATAATACCAACAAAATCAATACTAGCGAGTTGCTTATCCGTCGAGTCGACGACGACCACTCTAGTCATCAGTGAGTTGGAGTGGCTGGTTCTATTCTGTTTGTGCGCAGGTGGCTGATAAGGCCAATCCTTGCACGTAAGGATCGGTTGCAAAAGGGACACGGAATGAATGGGACATTTCCAGGAGGGTTGCTAGCACGTGCTTTTCTGCCTTACCTCTTCATCTCTGCAGCTGCTATCCTGCTCGATTCACACACCTTGGAGCCTTTGTGCAGACAGGAACGCCAAGTAACACGATCTCTAGCTGTTTTCTCCTATGCGTCAGGGTTTATGTTGAACGCTTTCAATGCAGCTTTCAAATTGTCTTTGAAGCATTTTTTCTGACTGACGTGGTATCGTTGTCTTTGCTGTAGCTCGTCATAGAAGAGTCTCTTAGGTATCCGGTGGTCTGGCATGCGTACAACATATCCCGCCCAGCATAGCTGGGACTGCATCAGGATGGTGTGAAAGCTGGGGAGACATGCTTAGAGTAATGTAGGGAGTACAACTGCCTGTAGACCTTTAGTTTGGTCGTGATGCTGATGCCTCTTTTATTCCAGACAATCTGCCAAAAGTTCAGCTGGCTCTGGCCCTGGCTCTCGTCGTCAATGGTGGCACTCTGTGAAAATGTGCTGCCAAGGTAGATGAGGTTTTTCACTAAGATGAAATTTTGGCTGTTAACGGTTATGTTGTGCTCTGTATAGGACTTTCCCCGGGCTTGCTGATACAGTACGTTAGTCTTCTTAGTATTGATGAACAAAGCTTGGGCAGGAATTGGAGAACTTGTCAACGCTGCATTACAGGTCTGCTTCTGAGCCAGCATTGAGAGAACAATCATCGGCAAATAAGAATGTATCTTGCTGCCACATCAGTAAGAATAGTTCGTGGAGCCTTTCAATCAGGGCTGTACCCCCTTCCTCGTAGACTTCTGATGCTATGGCATCTGAGCCGGGAGCTTTACCACTGGAGAGCAGATGAATCGCTTTCTGTGTCTCAGGCAAGGTTGGAGGGTAATCCAGTTCATTGATGATGGGTAATTGAGGGAGACGGTTGAAGTAGAAAGGGCGATTCAAGAAACTGACAAAATGTTCTGCTCATCTTTCAAGAATCTTCTCGCTTAATGACATTGCAACGTGTCATTATCACATAAGTATTTTATAGATCGGTAATGTGAGTCAACGTAGAATAAATCTGCTATATTTCCCAAATCCATCAAAAGCAAAAATAGAACAATTGGAAAAATCAGTCACTATATAGAGATAGAGATAGAGGTAGTAGTAAAGTGAAATGAGAGTTTTGGCCCACCACCCCCTCCCACACCTCCTCCCCCATCCCCGCCAAACCCATCATTTACCTTTACTACTACTATGTAGACAGATATTTTGTAACCAGACAAAACAACAGGTGTTGGAATGCCATAAGCTCTGTCAACAGAAGTGACGAATTTGTTAGAACAGCGTATGTGTGGAATATGATTATTCTAAAGACGGCAAATAGATTTTACCACAAATTTTTTTATCAGATAATAGGATGAAAATTAAACTGTGCATTAGAACGTTTCAGTTAACAAGGCGGAAATTAAACTAGCATTAGAATGAAAATGATATTATTTTATATCTCATTACCAATGATTAATGTTTCAACTGTTGATATTAAAAATACTTCACTATCACGACTATAGATAATAAATTTTACTTTACCGCTCACACAGCGATGGGACTCAAACAAATCTTTCATTTCTGGTTTGTTCAGAGGATATTTTTTGTTGATAAAATATACCCTTGACCGATCGAGATCAATTGTGAGTTTAGTACAGTTTTGTTGGCTAATGGGGCTGTGAAAGTTTTTAAATTCCGCTAGCAACTTTTGATATAATTGTTCGAGATAATTGAAATACTCTCTGTTATCAGATCTGATGAGCGAAAGTTTTAACTTGTCACGTGTTCCATTAAAACATATACCTGATGTTTCATTATTAAATTCAACTGTCAATTGTTTACCGTCCATCATTAGATATTTGATGTTACTATTGTAGCTATTTGTCATTGTCAAATTTTCAAACATTATTTTATAAGTTTAGATAAAATTTTAGTCACAATGAAAATACCCAAAGGCAAATGTATCTACTCCATTTTTACAATAGCGTTTGTCATCAAAATTGTACAATCCACGTTTGATAATGACATCTGTTTCGAGTTTATGATGATTAGTTCGAATTGCCATAGCTCTCATAAAACTAACACCACCATCAAGCGCGTACTTGTAGTCATCAAATTTCATAAACTTTTTAACAAAATTACGAGGCAGACCTTAAGCTTTTTTCCTTATTTTATTATGGTCTAACAATAGGCATACATTTTGCTGCGTAATCCGATAAAATATTTGATAGCGCTCGAGTTCATTTCATCTTTAATCTTACCAATAACCTTTTTATTTGTGTCGTCATGAAATTTACTGTCACGTGGATAATCGGAAAGATCAAACAGATGTCGATTATTGTACATATCCTGATAGATGTCCTCGCATTCGATTTCATATACTAGCGAATCGGTATCAGTAAACAATAATCTACTAGCCGGCCACTGATTTTTAACAAAATTATAATGAAAATCGTACATCAGCCACTTTGATAAATCTAACACAGCAGCTCCAACATAGATCGGCTTGTTTAGTTTTAGATTTGTTTTTCTTCTTTGTATCGCAACAAGATTTTCATTAAATATTTTCATGCTCACAAAATCATCGTCTGACACAAGTTTGTTTCTGCGATTGACATCATTAACTATTTCAATATTTACACGTTTCCTAATATTCTCCATCGTCTTACCAAAAACGGAATTGTTTATCAGTTTAAAAAAGTTTTTCTCAAACTTTGTTTTCGCTGCAGCTCTTCTTGAAGTGTTTGAGTTAATATAACCTCTCATCCACGGCGACTGATTAAATTTTAGTACACGATGAACTTTTCTCAACACAAGACCAGCATCGACTGCTTGTTTTAAAACTTTGTAATGCAAAACGTAATTTTTCTTATCAAGTAAATTTGGTACTAGTTTCTTGACCATGGAATGTTGCCTTGGTGATGCTAACGCTTGTTGTTCTTTTGATAACAAACTATAATCTATGACCATCGATTCCGCACAGAAAGGGTAATCGTTATGTAATTTGTGTAGCGAATTTGGATAATCAAGATCAACTTCAACGAAATAGGAAACATCGTCGGGTATCTTTTTTTCTGTCTCTGATAGAAATCGATCAACCGTGATCCAATGAAATCCGCTAAAAGGCATTGGTTCTGCCATCGAATACCCGTACAAGTTATTACAATCTAGATAAACTATATACTTCGAAGGAAGGTCAGGGTTATACTGTTTCAGGTATTTGTTGTTTGCTTCAGCATATTTGTTTGTTATCACGCTAATACCACCTCGGATACCTTTTTCGATAAAATTGAACATATCAACATCAGTCAGTAATTCTAACCTTACCTTACTTAACTTTAGCAAAGCATCCCATGACAACCCAGGGGCAGAATAATACCAGCAAGGATCTAGTCCATAATTATTATAACTCACTTCACGAAAACTTTCAAAAACATCTGCTAATAATAACACGTCAGTTTTCAGGTATAAATCATGATAATCACCAAAAGTCTCACAATCAAACTCTTTCCAGATATCTTGTGCATACCTGTACTCATCATCGGTTATATTTTCATTTTTAAGTTGTGAGTAAAATTTGTCTTTGTCAGGTAAAGATGTTTCATCAAATTTACTCCAGTCGTCGAGGTATTCGTATGGAAAAAACTCTTTTTTAGCTAGTAGATTAAATTTATCTCCAAAACAGTCTCTTAGGTTATCAAATTTACTACAACCTTTCACTAACTCATCTAACGAGGCTGCCATAAACTGCAGGCTGTCAATAAAACGCAATTTACCTAGCGTAACTGACATGTACTTTTCAAAATTATTTGGGATGCATTTGATGATGTTATCGAGTTTTAGACGAGATTTTATATCAGGATCACCAAAAGCTTCTACTATAATATAGCTATCATATCCTCGAAAATTGTGAAGAATAACTGGAATAATATCTGGAGCATGAAATTTTAAATTACACTAATTATGAGCCGCTCCACGGTACTGTCCAGTCAAATGACAATGGTCATGTACATTTTTGTCATCGTCAAAAGCTTTTTCACAAATATGACAAATTTCTGCTTGCTCGTGAGCGGATTCTTGTTGAGGTGTTAATTTTAATATTGGCGTTACTTTTTTCAAACGATAAGTAATATTATCAACTTCATTAATCAACTGCTTGAGAAGCCACATAGCTGGATTTTTACCACGATATAATTTGATCGGTTTAGATAATCTAGAATCAGTACAACAAACTACCTTGTACGCTACTCCACACGGAACATGATTTTGAACTTTTCTTGTCCTCGATTGATTAGGATTATTTTCTACGCCAAGTACAGGTTGAAGTAAACACTCAAAATCAGCGTATATAACGAAAGGAATTTTTAGTTTGTGATTATGATGGACAAACTGTAACACACTATCTCCCTTAGATGGCATTGTTATTCTTTGCACATCACTACAGTACTGCAAATGCTTTTGTAATGTTTCATTGTTAGTACAACCATGCAAGCAGCGGTAACAAAAGAACTT